TCAGCAGCATGCGGATCTTTAAGACTGTCCTGCACATTGATTACACAAAATTCTTTTTTTTTTCTTAATTTGGAAACTTTTTAAAAAATGTATTTATTTAAGTTCAAGTTATTTAATATACAGTGTAGTGTTGGTTTCAGGAGTAGAACCTGGTGATTCGTCACTTACACTTAACACCCAGTGCTCATCACAGGTGCCCTCCTTAATGCCCATCACCCATCTAGCCCATCCCTCTACCCACCTAACTTTCAGCAACCCTCAGTTTGTTCTCTGTATTTAAGATTTTCCTGGGGCGCCTGGGTGGCGCAGTCGGTTGAGCGTCCGACTTCAGCCAGGTCATGATCTCGCGGTCCGTGAGTTCGAGCCCCGCGTCGGGCTCTGGGCTGATGGCTCAGAGCCTGGAGCCTGTTTCCGATTCTGTGTCTCCCTCTCTCTCTGCCCCTCCCCTGTTCATGCTCTGTCTCTCTCTGTCCCAAAAATAAATAAACGTTGAAAAAAAAAATTAAAAAAATTAAAAAAAAAAGATTTTCTTATGGTTTGCCTCCCTCTCTGTTTTTATCTTATTTTTCCTTCCCCTCCCCTATGTTCATCTGTTGTTTCTTAAATTCCACATGAGTGAAATCATATGATATTTGTCTTTCTCTGCCTGACTTATTTTGCTTAGCATAATACACTCTAGTTCCATCCACGTTGTTGCAAATGGCAAGATTTCATTCTCTTTGCTGACTAGTATTTGAATATGTATATATATATATATATATGTATACATATATATATGATATATATATAAATGTGATATATATATCACATTTGACATATGATAAATGTGATATATATATGTATACATATATATGATATATATATCATATATATATATGATATATATATCACATTTTCTTTATCCATTCATTAGTTGATGGACATCTGGGTTCTTCCCATAATTTGGCTATTGTTGATAGCACTGCTATAAACATTGGGGAGCGTGTGCCCCTTCAAATCAGCATTTTTGTATCCTTTGGACAAATACCTAGTAATGTAATTGCTGGGTCATAGGGTAGTTCTATTTTTAATTTTTTTGAGGAACCTCCATACTGTTTTCCAGAGTGGCTGCACCAGTTTGCATTCCCACCAACAGTGCAAAAGGGTTCCCCTTTCTCCACTTCCTCACCAACATCTGTTGTTTCCTGATATGTTCATTTTAGCCATTCTGACAGGTGTGAGGTGGTATTTCATTGTGGTTTTGAGTTGTATTTCCCTGAAGATAAGCATCTTTTCATGTGTCTGTTAGCCATCTGGATGTCTTCTTTAGAAAGGTGTCTATTTGTCTCTTCTGCCCATTTCTTCACTGTATTATTTGTCTTAGGGGTGTTGAGTTGATCAAACATCATTCTTGGTGGTGAGGGGGCCATTCCTCAGTCACCAGACCCTCTAGACAAGTCAGACCCCTAGCTACCTTTTGGGAATCACCCCACTCATTGACTCTGAGGATATTCCCCAGTTGTGGCTTAGGATCTGAGGATTGCTCAGCTTTGAGTATCTCCTAAACCCTTTGGCCCTTGAACAAGTTCTTAAACCCATCTCCAGTGCTCTTTTACTACAGTGAGAACAACTGAGAATAGAGACAGTCCTTCTTTGGTGAGCGAGGCTCACCCAAATGATTCCACGAGGTAGTTGGAAGTTGAGGAGGAACACTTTACTAATGTTTTCTATGTAGGCTATTTCTCTTTTTGCCAACAAATATCATGATAACTCTTCCTGGTTTCCTGAGCAACTCTAAAAATGCAATGCCTTCCTCCAAAGTCTAAGACTAGATCTGTACAAGTGTATTTCCCCGCCTTGTCAAAAAAAATAGCATGAGGCTAAAACAGGAAAGAATAAGGCTTGTTTCTGATCATTGGTTTCATTTTATTTGATGGCTCACTATTTCCAGACCCTAGTAACAGCAATCTTTGTCTACCACAACCTTTTATTGTCTTATGATTATACTAAGGAACGTCACACCTGGCAGGGCATGGTTTCCAAGCAGGGACTTAGAAACTTGCAAAGCTATAAACTAGTAAGCAATGAGCCAGACACATGGAACATATTTCAAAGTCAGAGATTTTAGATGGTTAACTAATTTTTTTTTCTTAACAAGAATACATATGCTTACTAAGATATATAAAGGTACTGCCCCAAGAAGGGCATGATTTTAGTAGGTATGTGCACACATTAGCGTGCACTTGGGTGTAGGGATAAAAGCAAGGATGCAAACAGTACTTAGTAACTGGATTAAGACAAACAAGGCTTGAGAAATGTATCACTTTTCAAGGTCTTAATGGGTCCCATGTGGATGAACAGCTGGAATACTGACTTCATTCAAATCAAGATTCATTTTTTTTCCTTTTGGAAATTAACAACTTGAATTTTGAGCTTGATTATTCATTATGTTATTGCAGCACCAAAAGCTAGTCAGCATCCTTGAAAACATTTTCTCTTGAAATTACGGACTATTGCACACCAGCAGAAGTCATCTGTGCAAATTGTGAAAGCAGTTTCTCATAATCTCTCTCTCTCTCTCTAAGGAACTGAAGAGTCTTCCCATTTTTATTCATTTATTTCCAATGCATGTAAAGATCTTAGTTGCTAAGACCTCTGCATGCATTCTGTCATTTAATCTTTATACGTGCTGTTCTCTAAGGTGGGTACTATGGTCTTATATTTACGAACGAGACAACTGAAGTCTTAGAGTTTAATTAACTTCCTTTCAGAGCTCTTTTTTTTTTCTGCAGTTCTTAATTTAAAACGAGTATGTTAAAAGGAACTACTCCTTTCCTCACTTACTCATATTTCTTCCTCTCCTTCCCTGAGAGCACTTTCTTGTCTTTTCCCTTCTTATTCTTCCTTTTCCTTCTCCTCCTGCTCTCCCTCCTCCTTCTCCTTTTCTTCCTCCCTCACTTCCTCCCCCTCCCTACATCCCCTGTCCCCCCCCCCCCCCCCCCCTTCTCCTCCTGCTGTTTCATCAGTATTCCATTTGCAATGACTCTGGCTAAAGTGAAACATGAGGAACATACCTTTTGCTGCCATCCTGTTAGCTATTTCCTTATGTTTAGAGTTTCTCTGTCATCCAAAGCTCCAGAGTCTCTACTCCAGGCTTGGGTACCAGCCCTGGTCGCAGAGCTCCTGCACACGATTACATTTCTCTGGCTGCCAGGCCTCCACTCACTTCATATTCAGAGTCCAAGTTCACCATGTCCCCTCCCAGAGCGCTCCTTCGGTCATGGTACCCGGCCTCTTTTTCTCTTTTCGTGACCAAGTTTCCCCTTCCGCTCCAGTTTCTAGAATGAGGACCTCACCCAGTCATGGGCTGCCCCCTCCAGGCTCTGTCCTGTGACCTTCCTAAAGATTGCATTTTGAATCTCCACATGTGATTTATTGCCCTACTGCCTCTTGGCTCTGATCTTCCCATCATCTATTTAAGGGCACTTTATTTATTTAGGACGATTGTGGAATGTTAAGCCTAAAAATAAAACTGCCAGTCATTTCACCAGCAAAAATGGGTTGGTGCAGGAATAGTAGGGAATTGCAACGTGACAAAAGCAAGCTACAGCAAACCATAGGAAAATCCTCAAAAGGAAGGGGAGGACCACTCTTTTATCGAGAAAGGGGTGGAGCTGGGGAGGGCTGTTAGAAACAAAAAGTCCATTGGGGGAAAAAGGGAATTCTAAGTGTAGGGGCTCCTTGTTGGCTGAGTGTGACTGTCTCTCATTGGCTGGGCTGTTGCCAGGAGAAGGTGGTGAGGTGAGAAACACCTTTCTTCCTTCTGCTGGGTATTAAAGAAGGCAAAATAGTATGGATTGAGAAGGGAGGTCTCTTCCTGTGGGCTCTGCCATTCCGGGGAAGCAGTAGGGCATGAGAGCTGCCTGCTTTTGGCTTCCCAACACCATCTTCACAAACGAGGTTTCTTTTTATTCATTTTCCCAATAATGTATCTTCTGAGCTGGGGTACTTTTGAAAGTGAGGAGAGGCTTTATTAATTAATTAATTAATTTGTTTATTAAATTTAAGGAAATGTATATTTATTTTTGAGACACAGAGACAGAGAATGAGCGGGGGAGGGGGAGAGGGAGAGGGAGACACAATCTGAAGCTGGCTCCAGGCCCCGAGCTGTCAGCATGGAGCCCGACACGGGGCTCGAACTCACAAACCTCAAGATCATGACCCGAGCTGAAGTCGGACACTTAACTGACAGAGCCACCCAGGTGCCCCTCTTTATTTATTTTCAACTTTATTTATTTTGAGAGAGAGAGAGAGAGAGAGCAAGTGAGGGAGGGGCAGAGAGAGAAAGGGAGAGAGAGAGAGAGAGAGAGAGAGAAAGAATCCCAAGCAGGCTCCGCATTGTCAGCACAGAGCCCGACATGAGGCTCAAACGCACAAACCATGAGATCATGACCTGAGCTGACCTCAGATGCTTATCCGACTGAGCCACCCAGGCACCCCAAGAGGCATCATTATTTACAAATCATACTGGGAGTAGCAGGCATGACCCTGACCTCACCCTACCCAGAGCTTGAGGTTTGCACACAGCTTGGCCGAGCACTGGCTCCGGTTAGGAAAGCTGGTTAACGTTTCTATGCCATAGTTTTCTCTTCTGTGAGATTGGGTTACCTGTTATACCTTGGCCTGGAGTCATCGTGAGGCTGAAGTGAGTTAATGTGCGCAGGGCATTTAGAGTGATGACTGGTACGCAGCAATCATTCAATGCCATTAAACTACAATTTGCCTAATTTTTGTATCTTTGACGTTGGCAGACGAACCAGCCTGTCTAAGCCTGTGAGAATTGAACGTAAGGATGCGTGTGACCACCCTCCCTCCTCCAGACGCTGCTCTTACTATCTGACTTCGTTCTTTTCTTACTGGGAAAGTGATTGTTCGACACCCCCCATCCCACAGTTCTTTCCCACCCATCTCCCTGTACTTCCTGCTTGCATTTCTTGGTCCAACCATATGTTAAGCAATGTCACAGGGCCAGCAGACAGTTACTGCTGCTGCCAGTTTCCTAATCAACGGCAAGCCTTGGGGACGCGCAGTGAAAGCAGAGTCGTCCCAGGTGCCCGTGTGGTTGGCACACTCTTCAGTCAGCCAGCACCACATTTTCACCGACTCCTCTAGAGTGTTGCCTCAGGCAAAGGTACGTTAAGCCTGAGTCCGAAGAGGCTGCAGTTTTCCAGAAAGGACACCGTCACTGTCATTACTGAGAGTCTCCTACTCGGCTTCAGAGGGAAGACGTCTTCCAACGCTTGAAGCCTCCAAGGTAAACCCTACAGATTCGCTCTTCAGAGAAAGCCCCCTTTTTTCTTGTCTCCTGGGTGCCACCCAGGAGAGTCAGTGGGCCGTGAGGATGTCTGCAGAGTGTTCTGGTTGGTTGTCACGTAGAGATTTGGAACTGTCAGCTGCGAGCATGGCTTCCCTTTAGAGTCTGATTGTTCCTCTGGTGTTCAAAATGTTAGACATAATTGTCTAGTTATTTCTTTGGAAAGACACGGGCGTGGATACCACCTACACACACACACACACACACACACACACACACACACACACCTCTTAGATATTATATAATCCAAGTGGCTGCCTCCAAATTCGGCTGCCGGCTGTGGGAATGAGGGATGGTCTGGACACATCTGAAGTAAGGATTTAGTAAGTGAGTTTCTGCATGAGCTCAGAGGGATGGTAACGATACTCTGAAAGCCAGATTGCCAGGTTCGGGTCTCCAGCTCCTGAAATTGCTGGCCTTGTGGGTTTTGGCAAATTACTTAAGTCTCCTGGTGTTCCACTTTCTCGCCTGCAAAATGGAAAGGATCATAGCAGCAGTACCTATTTATATGGATGTGTGAGACATATGGTGGTTAAATGGGTAAAGCATTTAGTGCAATGCCTGACATACACTAAAAGCCAGATAGGTGAACTTAATGGGTTCTCGGGAAATCTATACTTCTCCCATTAAAAAAAACAAGCTCAATTGACCACATTATTGAACATAGTTTATTTTGCCTGAAGCCTGAAAATTCTCCCTGATATGTATAGTTATTTTATTTTTATTTATTTATTCTTTAATGTTTATTTACCTTTGAGAGAGAGAGAGAGAGAGTGAGCAGGGGAGGGGCAGAGAGAGACTGAGACACAGGATCTGAAGCAGGCTCCAGGCTCTGGGCCGTCAGCCCAGAGCACAACATGGGGCTTGAACCCATGAACGATGAGAGCATGACCTGAGCTGAAGTCAGAGGCTTAACCGACTGAGCCACACAGGTGCCCCATTTATAGTTATTTTAAAAAATCAAGAGGTACCTGGGTGGCTGAGTTGGTTCAGCATTTGACTCTTGGTTTCAGCCTAGGTCATGATTTCATGGTTCATGAGTTCAAGCCCCACATTGGCCTTAGCGCAAACAGCACGAGCCTGCTTGGGATTCTCTCCCCCCACCCCTCCCATCTCTGCCCCTCCTCTGCTTGTGCTCTCTCTCTCAAAATAAATAAATAAACGGGGCGCCTGGGTGGCGCAGTTGGTTAAGCGTCCGACTTCAGCCAGGTCACGATCTCGCGGTCCGTGGGTTTGAGCCCCGCGTCGGGCTCTGGGCTGATGGCTCAGAGCCTGGAGCCTGTTTCCGATTCTGTGTCTCCCTCTCTCTCTGCCCCTCCCCCGTTCATGCTCTGTCTCTCTCTGTCCCGAAAATAAATGTTGAAAAAAAAAAAATAAATTAAATAAATAAATAAATAAACAAAATAACAAAATAAAAAAGTCAAATTAAATGATGTGGCTAGAGGGGTGCCTGGGTGGCTCAGTCAATTAAGCATCTGACTCTTGAATTTGGCTCAGGTCATGACCCTGTGGTTTGTGGGTTTGAGCCCTGCATTGGGCTCTGCGTTCTTGGTGTGGAGCCTGTGTGGGATTCTTGCTCTCTCCTCTCTCTCTCTGATTCTCCCCCACTCCAGCTTTCTCTCTCTCTCAAGAAAAACAAATAAATAAACTTAAAAAATAAATGATAGATTTCCTCCTTCCAGAACTACTCGGGAGTTTCTCTGTATGAGAGGCTCCAATCCTCACAAACATATTTCACGTTATCATTCATTTTTTTTTTTTTTTATTTTTTTTTCAACGTTTATTTATTTTTGGGACAGAGAGAGACAGAGCATGAACGGGGAAGGGGCAGAGAGAGAGGGAGACACAGAACCGGAAACAGGCTCCAGGCTCTGAGCCATCAGCCCAGAGCCTGACGTGGGGCTCGAACTCACGGACCGCGAGATCGTGACCTGGCTGAAGTCGGACGCTTAACCGACTGCGCCACCCAGGCGCCCCAACGTTATCATTCATAAGGCATGGCTACATCAAGCGGGACCAAAAGTTCATTTATTTATTAAGCATGTATTCACTGAGTGCGCAGCATGTGACAGACACAGATCTAGGCCCTGGGGTTACCAGGATGGGAAGACATCAGATACAGGTGAACATCCAGTCAGTTGAGGTTCAGACACGTAAGTAGTAGGAAAAGGGAAGCAGAGGGCAGGGCGTTCTGAGGTAATAAAGGGGAGGCTTCCTCCAGACCCGGCCAGGACTCAAGATGGCTTCCCTCAGGAAAGTGTGGCATGTGGACTGAGAGTCAGTCTGGAAGAAGAGCAGAAATTTTCTAGGTGGAGCTTGAGGGAAAATGTGTTTCAGGAAGAGAGGAATAATACGGAGAAGGAGAGTTGAAGACTTTTGAGAACTTGATGCTTGGGGGGCATTAAAAGAAATAAAACATGGCTGGACAGAGCTGTGAGATAGGGAGGGGGAGGCGTGAAGCTGGACTAACAGGCAAGCAGGTATCTGATCATGAAGGAGCACCGCGCTCCACATTAATACATTTTAGCGAGGCAGATATCTTGTGTAAAATATAGTTGTATTTCCCAGGGCATGTGGTTGGCTGTCAGTGAAGCATGCAACTCTTGATCTTGAGGTGGTGAATCTGGGCCCCATGTTGGGTGTGGAGATCACTTAAAAAAGAATAAAATCTTTAAAAAAATGTATATATATACATATTTCCCAATGGATAAATGTTAAGCCTAAGCTTTGCAAGGTGATGTTCAACATAGATGAGAGAGGGATTTGAGGGAATTAAAAAAATTTTGTTTTACGTTTGTTTATTTTTGAGAGTGAGAGAGACAGAGCACGAGCAGGGGAGGGGCGGAGGGAGAGGAAGACACAGAATCCAAAGCAGGCTCCAGGCTCTGAGTTGTCAGCAAGGGCCTGATGTGGGGCTCGAACTCATGGATCTCGAGATCATGACCTGAGCTGAAGTCAGACGCTTAACCGACTGAGTCACCCAGGGGGCCCTGTTTGGCCATTCTTATTATTATACATCCTGACCAGGATTACATCAGGTATTTATTAAAACAGACTTTGCTGTCAACTTTTGATATTTCCTCCTTCTTGGATTCCATGCATAGTATTGAACATGGAAGGTAAGGGTTCCTTGTCATTCTGTATTTATCAGTGTTTAAACAGAGCGTGTACCTAAATGCTAGCATGGAAATCAGTATTGGCAGGACATTTTGATGAGAGGTAAAATAGCAATTTTCAATGTGATAAAGATAGAATGTGTTCTGACTTTCACCTTCTTAGTGCCTTTGTGAATAAATAAGCATGACACATAGCCTTTATGATAGAGAACTGGAAAGGTAAACCTTATCCTGAAAGGAAGCAGCATGGATCTAATCTGATAAAAGTGAGTGAAATTATTAGAACAATAGATCTGCCGTACAATTTGCAACAAAAAGTAGAAAGTAAGAAACCATTCTAAACTCAAAGTCAATAGTTTTGGCAGAATTCAGCAGTATATAATGGGTTTGTAGTTAATCTCTTTTTTCTTTAAAAAAAAAAAAAGCTTTTTTAAGCTTATTTATTTATTTTGAGAGAGACAGAGAGCAAGTGGAATAGGGGTAGAGAGAATCCCAAGCAGGCTCTGCACTGTCAGCACAGAGCCCGATGTGGGGCTTGAACTCATAAACTGTGAGATTGTGACCTGAGCCAAAATCAAGAGTCAGACGCTTAACCGACTGAGCCACCCAGGTGCCCCTGTGGTTAATCTCCTACTGTCCACCTCATCAGTTGTAGAAGCAGAGAAGCATTTTGCAATCACTTTGTGTTGGAGAAGCCTGTTATCAGTTATTTTACTAGCAAAAATGGGTTTATTCAGGAAGAGTAGAGAATTGCAATTTGGGACAAGCAAGCTAACACAAAATCATATGTGAGTCCAGACAACAAAGAGAAGGAACTGCTCTTTTATAGAGGGAAAGAGGCGAATTAGGAGTTACTGTTATACACAAAAAGTCCCTTGCAGCAGACTGGGACTTGGAAATAGAGTAGCTTTTAGTTGTGACAGCCTCTTGTTGGCTGGGCTGCTCTTCTCTGGGGTAGTAAAGTGGTATTGACTTGGAAGATGCCAAGTGCTTCTCTTCCTGTTGGGTCTACAACTGAGGAGGAGGGACAGGGCACGAGAAGCCCCTGTTGTGGCGTCCTGACTCCATCTGAAACAAGTTTCCCTTTATCAGTTTTCCCACTAGGAAGTTATATTGCTCAAGATTGAACATATTGTGTGTGTGTGTATATATATATTTAATTTTGTTTAGTTTATTTATTTATTCTGAGAGAGAGAGAGAGAGAGAGAGAGAGAGAGAGAGAGAATCCCAAGTCACTGAAAGTGCAGAGCTTGATGTGGGGCTTGAACTCATGAACCATGAGATGGTGATCTGAGCTGAAACCGAGTCAGACATTTAACCAACTGAGCCACTCAGGCGCCCCCAGTGTATATTTTAGCGACACATCTTTTTTTAGGTGTAATGATTGAGGTGGTTGTTTGGTGAACCTTATATACAATACTTTGAGTCTTTTTTTTTTTTTTTTTTTTTTTTTTTGCCACAAGGCAGAGTATGAGTTAAAGTTAACATTTACCAACTGTCTATTAGGTTAGGGACTTCAGACCTTATCAAAGTTGCCTCTTGCCATGTTAATATGAAATTAAAATTATTTTCATTTTACATATGTGAACACTGAGGCTCCCATTACTAGATCACACAACTAATAAGTGGCCAAATTTGGATTTAGATTCGTCTCTTCCACGGTGCTTAATCTCTTTCCGCTGTACCGAACGGTGACCCAGAACGGTATCTTCCATATAGTACTATATAGCATAACGATTAAAAAATGTTCGACCTTAAAGTAGAATGTCCCTAATAGAGCTGAACTCAGTTATGAGCTGTGTTAAGTGTGGGTAAGTTATCTGACCTCTCTATGCCTCAATTTTTTCATCTTTAAAATCGGAATAATAACATCGCAACATAGATTGTTGGGAGGATTAAATATGTTAACACGGTCACAGCAACCAGACAGTACCTGGCATGTAGGAGCAACTCAATAAATTATACCTCTTGTTATTATAGGGAGGTGACCAAAGTCATTTTCCTCAACCAAGAGATCAACTTTCAGTGAAACCATCTGTCTGGTTGTCCAGAATTGATTTGAAGAGGGGCTATGTAATGTATACATACATATAAAAATGAGAAAGGAATCACACTTCACTGTTTCAAAGTTATGTGAGGCACTCAGACTTACTACAGTAGTTTGATGGTGTCTACTACTCCAAGACAAAATGAAATTAAACAATGTAAATTGATGCTCCATTTGTGGAGAGTCATTTTGATGTATGGATGGAAATGAACCGTTCTGTTGCACTCAAAAAATTGTAGCTGGTGGGGAAAGGGAAAACATCAAACCTTTGGATTTCTTTTCTGTGATAGCCGTCAATAACCCCAGATGGCCTCCCGAGGAGATGAGAATGCAGAACTGGAGGCAACCTCAGCAGGTGGTACCCCAGCGAGCCAGGTGGAACCAGAGGTGGTGAATAACTCTGTCTACCAGCCCATTAATGGATCACAAAATCACCAGAAGGAGAAGTTACAGGCCCTTGGGGTAGGTCATCTTTAGTTTACAAATTGGTTTAAGACAGAAGAAAATAAATAGCATGTGGAAAACCTTGTCTATCCTCATCAGGAGAGATTTCTGAATTATTCATCACTAAGTCAATAATGTTGCTTCTTTAAGAAAAGACTGGGACCCATTTTAGACCTGGGGAGTAGGAACTGTCCTGTCAGCATTGGAGAATGGACTCCAGTCTGACCACCACCTCGGGAGGCTGAGTTCTTATGAATGCCTTCCGTATTTTAGATCTAAAAATTGGATTGACGAAAGCTTGGATGAACTGCTGTTTAATGTCTGAGTGCCTTCATCATACTATGGCCCCAAGGTGTGCTAGGAAGATATTTGACCCCGTCTGTGTTGCCAGCCATATTGCCTCTACTTTTCTACCACTGTCTGGAAGGAGTTTGTGAGAATGGACAGGAGGAGGGAGAGACGTGGTGATGAAGGGCTGCCATTGGGATCGGTGGGAATGGCATAGAACAAAAACCTCCCAGAATAAGGCCTTGCCCAGTTAAGCTTGACATTGTCATCATTTCCAGCAATGATATCTCCTTTCTGAAGAAAATTCAAATGGTCTCTTCTTCATGGACACTAGTACATGACCATTATGCTTTTTTTTTTTCTTTTTTCCTTATAGGCCGTCCAGATCATGAATGGAGCAACAATTCTGGCTCTGGGTGTTTTTCTAGGTGCCTTACAAAGCATATTTCGTCCCTTCCGCCCGTTTTTCTTGGTCTTCTACACAGGCTACCCACTATGGGGTGCTGTTTTTGTGCGTATTCATGTTCCCCTGACCGTAGATCATTTCTTAGATACCACTGCTAGAAATGTGTTAGATTATTAAAGTGTTGTTTTTAGGTTATTTGGAGATTGCATGCTGTGGGTTTGATTTGTAATTCCTTACACAACTTTTAAAAACAAAGTGCCTTCCTGAGTAAGAGAAATCACATTTGCTGAGTACAAATTAAGTCTCAAACATTAACTTGATGTATTCATGCATTAAATCCAGCTATTACATTTATGGATGCTAAGAAAATCAAATGAAAAATGAGTATTGGTGAATTGTCTTGTGCAGTCAAGAGAGTCCTGGTTTGGGAGATAAGAGATTTGCCTGCTGATTACAGTCTGGAAATCAGAAGACTGATTTCCCTTATTTGAGTCAAAACAGAACCAATAAAATAGGCTTTGGTTCTAGGTGGTTTTAAAATTTATTTGAATAAATAAATTTGTTATTTGATTATCAACTACCTGATGTTTTCTTTTTAAAAAGATAATTAGTTGGAACTATTTGCTAATCAGACACTAATTTTTTTGTTTTTTTTTTTTTTTCTTGTCTATTCTGGTGTTAGACCTTGGAGAATTTATAAGTGTTCGGTCTCAGACTACCATGAAATCCAAGATGGGCAAGTTTAGTTGAAAATAGTAAATGGAACATGTAATTGGCAAAGAAGAAGATATAAATTTATAGCAAATCTGGGGCTCTAATTTATTCATGAGTTTAGTTTTTCAGAATCATCGACCTTCAGATCTTCTTTAAAACAAAATTGCTCATAATTTGTCAACAATCTCATATGCTGACAAAAGATGACATTCAGTTTCTGGATGCAGTATAAAACACGTAATTTGGATTTAACATTTCTGAAATTTTTAGATAGTTCCTACTATCATTTTGATGAAATACTTGGAGTCTGAATTTTTCTAGAAAACCTGAAGTACACATTTTCTCTGCATAATGAATCCTGACTATCTAAATGGAAAACTTCCATATTGTAGAACAGAGGATGGTGAAGTGTTTCAGTTATTCCATCAGGAAAGAGTTTTCTTTTCTCAGAAAGCTGGGGTCAGTATGTTGGAAAAATGTGGTCAGGAAGCCAGAGCTCATTCTTTGAAAGCATCCTCAGCATGAAGGTTCAAATCTGACCATTGGATTCCCATCGCTGGAAGCTTTGCCCCGGCTCTGTCTATCGCTGATGGAGTAAAGTCTAAGATCCACGACATTATCTGGCCTTACCTGCAACTACACCCCTGTCTCCCTCCCCTTCCCTCTGTATACGGGCCCTGCTGTTTATTGACCGTGTGATTCCTTCTATGAACCAATCTTCCTCTTACCCATCCTTATTGACCTTTGAGAAAAATATCTAAGCTCTTACCCTTTAGTTTCTTCAGTAAGATAGTAGAAATAACATGGGGGCCCTCTTTTTGGGCCATTTTTAAATGGGGAAAAATACATAAAAACCTTAGCTATTGTTAATAATACAAGTGCTTTAGGTGTGCCGGGCCAATTTCCAAGACCTCATCATGTATCATTTCATTCCATCCCCATATAGCTATAAGGTCAGTAATATTAACATGGGGATATGCACATCTCTATTTTACAGAAAAAGAAGTAGGCAAAAACTGAGCCTAGGTGACTGAATGAATACAAGCTGAAGATAGGGTCAGGGTGCATATGCTCTCGACCATAAAGCTCTAGTGACCCTGAACTTTCTCGTGATAACCATCTTGTTATTTGACGTGGAATCCGAAGCCTGTTCCTTTGTGTTCAGGCAGAATATTCGAGAATTGAATCTATGGAGCCAGCTCTTGCTCTCCATGATTTTGGCAACTTTGCCCTCAAACCATAGGCGTGGCTCGGCAAATTGTTGTAAGAATTTGTGGGGTATAAAACAGCATGAAATTTTGAGAAAGCCATCAACTTGTAGAGAATTCACTTTATAAAATTAGAGTCATGAAAATAATAGCTTATCAAAATAATCATTTAAAATGAGTGGGTATAGCAATGTAGACAGAGTTGCTGAAGTTCTTTCAGAACATCTAATCCAATAAATCAAACCCTCATCTGAAGCTTGAGTCAGAATATGAACATGACGTTATATATGCATGTGTATGTAAATAAATATTATTTACATTTAATATAAGTATAAGCATAAAGATAATTATATCGCATTACATATATGTCTTATGTTTTTAAAGTATGCACGCTCATATAATGTATAAAAACAGATGTAATAAAATATCACATGTTTGCTCAAAATTTTAACTAATTAAAAATTTCATTCATACGAAATGATGAGCAACATCGAGTATAATTCTCTGTGATAGAGTGTGAATTTTAGAAAGAAATTTTATGCAACCATTGCTAGATATCTACTAATTGACGGAGGACAAAATGAAAATGGTTGAGACTTAATGTTCTCTTATCTGTTTCATTTCCTGTGTTTAAACAGTTTATTGTTTCAGGATCCTTGTCTGTTGCAGCTGGGAGAAAGCCCACAAAAAAGTTGGTAAGTGGCAGTTCTTCCTGTATTCCTATGATTGTGGAACTAGAAATAAGTTACCCATTAATAACAAGAGAGTAGAGGTTGGTGAATTCAACTGAGACACCGAGTCTTGTGTAACGCACAAGAAAATTCTCTTAAGGCATTCAGATGGTAAATTATCAGAAAATCATGGAGATTGTGAATGATTCCTGGGATGGTTACTTTGAATATTTGATGAATCTGAAGCTCAGAAAAAGGCTTCTTGATTTTTGTGTGTTGTGAAACTTGACTAATTCTAACTACTTTGAGTGTACCCTTTCCCACCACTAAGTCCACACCCAAAAGCCAAAAGTTCTATTCCTTTAGTGATTCCTTATACACTTCATAAGTCCCTGTTATGTGTTCTCACTAAATCATCTCTCTGCCAGCTACACGCCTTTCCTAGCTCATTCACTCTGCCTTCTCCATGGATGGCCACCTTGAACACCAATCCCTTTTCTTTACCTTTATTCTCTGTTGATGACCTTGCTCCCTATTCTGAGAAACCCAAGCCCTTAGAAAAGAACATTCAGATGCCCTCTCTAACATCCACTTCACAGAACAGGTCTGAACCGATTCGTTTTTTATTCTAACTTCTTACCGTAGGTGACTCTGATTTTCTTCAAAGCTGTCATCCCTATTTGAATACTAGATTCTGTTCCTTTTTTTCCCACCTGAGTGCATCACTCCAAATGTCTTTCTGCTAGATTTTTTCAATCAGCCTATCAGCATCCAGTTACTAATCTAAGCAGAAAAAAAATACCTTGACCTTATTTTCTCCTGATAGCTATGGGCACAATTTGCTTTTCCTTCTGTAGTTAAACTCCTCAAAGGAATTATCTACACTCTGTCTCCAGTTCCAATCTACCCAGTAAGGGCTTTATTTTCCAATAAGGCTTTATTTTCTTCCCTACCTATCGAGTAAGAACTTCCAATCTACCCAGGAAGGGCATTGTTTTATAATAAGGCTTTATTTTCTTCCCTGTTACATCTTTGTAAACACTCTCCTTAAGATCACTACTGATTTCTCTGTTGGCAACGCAGAGATCAATTCCCGGTCCTCATCTAACTTGATTCATGGGCAGCATTTAGTACGCAGTGGATCACTCATTCCTCCTTCCAATAATTTCTTCATTTAGCTTCTAGATCACTTCCATTAGCTGGTTTCCTCTTGTCTTTTCAGTGTCCCCTTCTCAATCTCCTTTCCTTTGCTTCTCTCTGACCTTCAAAAGTTGGGGTGCCCCAGAACTCAATTCCTTGTTACCTGCCCTACTCACTCCTTTGGTGACCTCATCCATGCTCCTGGCTTCAAGTGACATTGCATGCCCACAACCCTGAAATAAACACTTCCAGCCTAGATCTCCCTCTGGGCAACATGCCGGTGGATCTCATTGCTTCCACTTAAGAGTTCTAAAATCTCCCAAACTCTATCCTAATCTTCCTCCTCCAACCTTCTCCCTCCATTTCCTCCCCATATCAGCTGATGGGCACTCCCTCCTTCCAGATTCCCAGGCCCAAACCCTGAGGATTATCCCTGACTTCTCTTTCTTTGACAATCTTGAATCCAATTGATTCACACATCCTGTTGGCCCTATGTTCAAGCTAAATCTGACTTTGACTGTTTCTCATCCAGTCAGACATCATCTTTCATAACCGGGTTCCTTGCTTCTACCGCTGGCCCTGTCTATACTAGTCCTGCTTGAGACCTCAGTGCTCCCATTAATCTAACTGCATTGCCCCTTTGCTCAAAATCCTCCAGGGACTCTATATTTTCCTCAGAGTAAGAACCAAAGTTCTTCTTAAGACCCGCAGGTCTTAGATGGGGGTTTAAATGAATTGCTACCAAAGGAAGGAAGCATGTGCTTCCTATATTAATTGAAAATTCCTGTTCTTTTTTAGGTGGAACACAATTTTGGAATGAATATTGCCAGCACTACCGTTGCTCTAGTTGGGTTTGTTTTGGTCTCGATCAATTTAGCAGTTAATAAGTATTCTCTCAAGGGATGTCCATCTTCAGAGTCACTGGACTTATGCATTTGCATGGACGTCTTATCAAACGTATGTTTTCAAAAATTATGTTTAATTATAAAATATTCCAAATGATCTCAAATGTACAGAAGAATATCATATCGGGTATCATGCTACCTTGATTTGAATCCGGGCTTTGCCACTTATTAGCTCTACAATGAAGGGCAAATTAGATAGTGTTTCAATGTGCTCATCTTTTTTTTTTTTTTATTATTAGTTTTTGAGAGAGAGAGAGAGAGAGAGAGAGAGACAGAGTATGAGTAGGGGAGGAGCAGAGAGAGAGGGAGACACAGAATCTGAAGCAGGGTCCAGGCTCTGAGCTGTCAGCACAGAGCCGGATGCGGAGCTTGAACCCACAAACTGTGAGATCGTGACCCGAGCTGAAGTCGGATGCCTAACAGACCGAGCCACCCAGGTGCCCCAATTTGCTCATCTTTGATATGAGGATGGTAATAGTATCAATCTCACAGGGTTGATGTAAGGGTTAAACAAGTTCATATTTGATGAGCAATTAAAACAGTGCACATTGGGGCGCCTGGGTGGCTCAGTTGGTTGAGCGTCCGACTTCGGCTCAGGTCATGATCTCGGGGTCCATGAGTTCGAGCCCCACATCGGGCTCTGTGCTGACAGCTCGGAGCCTGGAGCCTGCTTCGGATTCTGTGTCTCCTCTCTCTGCCCCTCCCCTGCTCACACTCTGTCTCCCTCTCTCTCAAAAATAAGTAAACATTAAAAAAAATTAAAAAAAAAAAAAACCCAGTGCACATTGTGTTATAATATTAGTATTTATTGCTGCTACTATTACACTCCCCAGAGAAATTAAATGAAATTTTTTAAATTTCATATCTTACTTAATAAAACTGACTTGGGAGATTTACAGTGTTCTCTGTGACCTGGGATTTTTGAATCATGAGTCACCGAAGTTTGGAATGTGGTACTTCACGTTGGAATTTTGGGGGTATATTATTTTTAAAGGGAAGCTCCCTAAGAAACTTTTCAAATGATGTTGTTGTTTGCATTAGATATTCTCCCTCTTCTGAGGTCAATTTAGAATTAAGGTTTTCCTTTAAATTTGCCTTTTTTCTCCGTGATGACCTATTTGATGACCTATTTTTACTGCCTGACTCCCAGTCCTCCTGTTTGCTGGCAAAGAAGTTTGTGCCTCATTTCTTTTCTTTCTGAAATGTATTGTTAATTATCTAAGTTTATATTTCTATGGGTCTGGGTTTGTTGTTGTTGTTGTTGTTGTCATTTTCAGGTGGGTTTTGTAGTATTTTCCTTCTGGAGCAATCTTGTGTTTGCTTCTCCTTCGAGGTGCCTCAGTGATAATAGCAGGATCGCTAGTCTAGTAATTTTGTGTTTAATATTTCAGTTTAGTGTTTAGTTTCTAGGGATGGCATAGACACATAAACCTTCTAATAAAATCCCATTAATGAAATGGTGGGGGGTCATTTTTGCCCATTGTTCTGAACTACCTACTCATTTCTTTAGTTGGCTATGACTCAGATTCCTAGACGTTAGCAAGAATATCAGAATTTTGCCTTTACAGCCTCTTCAGCTGTGACCACTTCACGTGGTTGATAAAAAATGCAATGTATCTCTCTCTCCAGGTAAATTTTTTCCATTTATCTATTTATTATTTACTTATTTAAAAAAAGTTTTTTTAATGTTTATTTATTTTTTTTTTATTTTAAAAAAAAAATTTTTTTTTTCAACGTTTATTTATTTTTGGGACAGAGAGAGACAGAGCATGAACGGGGGAGGGGCAGAGAGAGAGGGAGACACAGAATCGGAAACAGGCTCCAGGCTCTGAGCCATCCGCCCAGAGCCCGACGCGGGGCTTGAACTCACGGACCGCGAGATCGTGACCTGGCTGAAGTCGGACGCTTAACCGACTGTGCCACCCAGGCGCCCCATGTTTATTTATTTTTGAGACAGAGAGAGACAGAGCATGAACAGGGGAGGGTCAGAGAGAGAGGGAGACACAGAATCGGAAACAGGCTCCGGGCTCCGAGCTGTCAGCACAGAGCCCGATGTGGGGCTCAAACCCACAGACCACGAGATCATGACCTGGGCCGAAGTCAGACGCTCAACCGACTGAGCCACCCAGGTGCCCCATTATTTACTTATTTTTAAAGTTTATTTATTTATTTTGAGAGAGAGAGAGAGGGTACGCAGGGGAGAGGCAGAGAGAGAGAGGGAGAGAGAGAATCCCAACCAGGGCAATGCTGTCAGCAGAGAGTCCAACATGGGGCTTGATCCCACGAACCGTGAGATCATGACCTGAGCCAAAATCAAGAGTCAGACACTTAACCAACTGAGCCCCCCAGGCCCCAGTTTCTATGTTTTTAGGTTGATGAGGTGTCTCTTAAAGAATGTTGGTGTGTGCCTGTGTCTTAAAGCTAATCTATGGTTCACTTTGTTCTGTTTTAAAGGAGGGAGATGTTATATTTGGTTTCTTGATAACATGTTTTCCCTCTGAATGTTTGTACTATGTGTCATATGAGGCATCATATCTCCTAGGGCATCATGTCTCTAATGCTCATCCTTACCTTGCTGGAATTATGCATCAGCATCTCTGTTTCAGCCATGTGGTGTGCAGAAAACGCATGTAATTCCAGAAAGGTGAGTTTGTTTCCATGACTAATAATTCACATGGTCTGCTAAGGTTTAAGGTTCTCTCTGACTTCTAGAGTTGAAAAGATATACTTTTATGTAGTAAGGATTTGTGGGGTCCCTGGAGTTAGAGATTGTATGAAAGTGAGGGATGGAATGAAGGCTGGAAAAGGATTCTGATGTGAAAATCTAACCGGAACCAATATATTTAAAATAATATTCAATACATTTATAACATCACAGTATGATCTTATAGTAATATAATTAGTGTGATAATAAATGACAATATCAATAATAATACAGTTACTACAATATAATAATATAATAATAATATTTAACATATTTTTATACAGATATAATTAAGTTCAATCATTTCCATGTAACCTGTCAGTTTCTAACTGTATACCCAGGAAAAACCATGAATTCTTTCTAGATTTTAGGTAACTCACCTATAAGATGAAAACATTTTCATTGTCTTCTGACATTGGTTGGGAGGACTATGTATATAAAACTTTAGCATAGTAGTAATCAGTGAACACATATTATTGACGATAATCATGATGATTAAGGAAGGGATGGAAGGAGAGGGAGATGATGATCCTTTTCTTGGAAACTGATGTTTTATTTTCCAGGCGATTTCCTCACCTGGTAATTCTGTGTAAGCAGAAATGCCTCCTGATGAAACTAAATCTGAGAGCAAGGAAGTTCAACCTCAACTCTCCAATGAGTCAGAGCTTCATCAAAGACCTCAGGAAGACAGGAGCCTCCTCTCTTTTTTTTTTTTTTTTTTATTATTTAAAAAAAATTTTTTTTTTCTCCACGTTTTTATTTATTTTTGGGACAGAGAGAGACAGAGCACGAACGGGGAGGGGCAGAGAGAGAGGGAGACACAGAATCGGAAACAGGCTCCAGGCTCTGAGCCATCAGCCCAGAGCCCGACGCGGGGCTCGAACTCACGGACCGCGAGATCGTGACCTGGCTGAAGTCGGACGCTCAACCGACTGCGCCACCCAGGCGCCCCAGGAGCCTCCTCTCTTTACGGCGCGAAGCATGAGAAACTTGAATATCTGACTCAACTTTTTTGTTTTTGTAAATTCTGTGCTCACCACTCCAAAGTTGTTCCCATAATCGGTGCTCTTTCTTCTTAGCCACCTACTCCATTGCCTTACAAGGTTTAAAGGAAGCGGGCAGAATAGTTCCCGTTTTATGAATTCTCTCTAAATCCAACTCCCAACCACCCATTGAGAAGGAAAACGAGTCATATGTTTTTTGCATTGCAGAAAAATGGTTCTTGACTTTAGCTGACGTCAGCATTGTAAAACCTCAAATAAAAAAATCATCATTATCATCGTTAAGATCATTTTTTCTCACATTTGAGGGGGGTAGGGTCATGTCTCAGAGGTTTTATTTCGGTCAGCTTCTGAGATTCCCACAAGCCCTGATACGTACACGATGGTGTCGATCGGGGACTTTGAGAGCAATATCAATCAACATTTGTTCTTCAAAGGATGGCGAGAAACCGTAAAACGGAGAAGTAAGGAATAAGGGCTTTAGATCCTTACAGATCTGGGTTTAAATTGTGATACCGTCACTTGTTACCTGTGTGAAGTTGAGCAAGTTACTTAAGCTCCCTGACCTGTTTTTCCTCATCCATAAAATGGGTGTAATGTCAATGGACTACCTCATCGTGCCCTTGTAAGTGGTACGTAGAACCGCAAGTACTAAGTGGCTGTTGTTGGTGCCACCACTGCTGTTAAGGCTGGGGTGGGACGGTGGTCAGATGTGCAGGGAGGATGGCAGAAACCCTCACTTCCATTGTGGCTCCTCCCATCCCCCTGGTGACATCAATGGCTGTCTTTTTAAGGTGGCAGTTTGATGTTAAGTCTCCTCCTGATATATCTGGTTCCCGATTTATTTCTGCTGACGTGCTCATGTTTCAGATTTAGAAGTTAATTCCCCTCTCTTGATACTGAGCTGAGTCATTCATAATGTCTGTAAGTTCATACCCATAGGCTATTCTTAGCATCATGTTTACCACATGGGCAAAAATTCTTTCATACTCTTCTCTACTAATTGTTGCCTCTCTTCTTCAGAACACACACACACACACACACACACACACACACACACACTCATTGTATATATAATATTGGTCCCTGGACCCATATTATATATATATATAATATATATATATATTATATATATAATATATTTTTATGTTTTTTTAATCCATTCAGCAATATTTAGGGAATGTCTACTATGTGCATGTGCTGTGTGAAAAGTTTGATGTGCATTAGAGAATGATATATAGTCTCTGCTCTCAGGTTGCTCATAGTGGGGGATTTAGACCCAATGGAAATGTGTAATTACAACATGCAGTAATAAGGGCTGTGGTAGGAAAAATATAGGAATCTTGGGAAGACATAGGGAGAATTTCTAACCTGGGTTAGAGGGGATATCATTTTTCTAGAAGACTTTTCTTCTAAAATGAGGTCTTAACTATTACTAGAATTTGCACGATGAAGGGGGACTCATGCAAAAGTCTTTCAGCTGAAGAGAATTGGGGATATCCAGGGAACTAACAGGAGAGTTTAGTGTATCTAACTTTGACGGGTGTGGGAAAGATGGCAAGGTAAAACTTTGGAGAGAGAAAAAGCACACGCTTCACAGGAGACCACAAGACAGAGCAACTCTAGGAGTCTTCAGAAGCAGTTGAAAATTTCTGCAGTGGTGTTGAGCTGGCTTATATCGACTTGTGAGAGCTGATTTTAAATTTGCAGGGACCGCAAGTTAACATATTTTTGGTAGCTGACAATTGGCTATGGTGGTAGTATTTACACCTCAGAGATTGGTAGAAGCCACAAGTCACATTCCCACCCCACCCTCTAGCTTTGGAAAGCCAGTTGTTGAATATCCACCAGCACACCACTGGATAAATATGGACAAGCCATGCACTTAACTTGAAATTTAGAGATCTCCTTTGGAAGGAGTTAGTGGAGGAAAGGTTGATTAGGAATCTGATACAGTACACAAGGCAAAAAACTTCAGTTGAAGGAAAGGTATTTGTAGTAACATTTGTATCAACATTTTCATTATTTAATTCTATTTTTCTCCTCTAATATGTTATAAATAAATCAATCATTTCTTTGCATTTTGCCAAAGATAACGGCTAACAAATTTTGATCAAAACAGGATCGCTACAGGATTTTGACATCCTGTAGTGGATATTGTGATTGACTAGCCAGCATTCATTCTAGCTATCCCCAGATTGATGGCAACCTTGAGATTTTGGGGGAGTTGACCTCACCCTGGGCTCCACCATGATAGATCCAGATCCATCAGAACACTTCCATTTGTGACTCTATCAGCCCATAAAATGTTCCTGGACCAAGGCTTGATTCAGTTGTGGAACAATCATCATTAAGTTGGAGTCTTTGTTGACAAATGTAAAATATGAGCAATGTATTTGTGAATTAAGATGCAGCTGGAACTAGTAGCTACTAGTGGTCGTGGCAAAAACTAACCTCAGTATTAAACTGAAGGCGATGTAAGAGAATTTCAGAAAATAGAAATCGAACTCTCACCTAACCACCTCTGAAATTTAGCCTATTTCTGGAACTGAAAGTCTCAGGAACACATACATTGTTTGTATTGTTCAACAGCATTTGTTGCAAATATCTTCTCCCATTCTGATTTTGTCTTGTTTTATTTTGATGTTTTTGTTAGCTCTTGTTACGTTTCCACCCTACGTTTTTGTTGTAGCTGTATTTACTCAACGTTTCATCATGATTTATGCCTTTTGTGTTTTGTGCAAGAAACCCTTCCTTACCTCAAGTCCATGGAGACATGATTATTTAATACATCTGTAATTTACTTTATAGAGAATGACATCATCATCATCATCATCTTTTTAGAAAGCTAATAATTCTAGAAATTTATGTACTATATTGTAGCACACAAACATTCAAGCATCTATCCAGAACTTCCTCTTTGAGGAACTTTGTTGTTGTTGTGAAAATACCACATTGTTTTAGCTGCACGGTATAATTATTTTGGGGTAGTACAGACATTTGACGGTATAATTCTTTAAGTCCATGAGCATGGAATATATTTCTATTAATTTTGTCTTCTTCAATTTCTTTCATTAATGTCTTATAGTTTTCAGTTATTCTCCTTAATTGTATGATTTTTCCTTTCAAGATCTTGCTCATTTTTCACTATATGTGCATCTACAAGTGGGGGAAATTTCCTTTCCTTTTTAAAGATCAGTATAGATCCTTAGTCTCTCTCTCTCTCCCTCTCTCTCTGCCCCTCCCTGACTTGCTCACTCTCAAAGTAAATAAATAAATTTTTAAAAACCTTAAGAGATAAAATTATAAGTTGTAGGGTCATTTTGTCCCTATTTCCATTGAACAATAATTCATGAAGTCAAACATTTAAAATAAAGCCACAACCCAAGAAAGGGTTAGATAAATTGTCACAATTTGATACTGATTAAAAATGAACCGGAGTAGTCCATAAAAGTGTTTGCCTCTAGATGAATTGTCTCACCATATCTGATGTAGATGTTGCTTAGCTGAGACTCAGGACTTAATGATGTGGCTTGAAGTGTTGGGATTCGGCGTTGATGGCCAAGAAAGAATTCTTGAGACGTCTTTGGTGCAAAAAGGTGTTTGTATTAAAGCATGGGGACAAGACCTTGGGCAGGAAGAGCTGTACTGGGTTTGTGACGGGTGACTGATTATATACATTCAGGCTGGGAAGGGGTTAGGGACAGCCTAAGTCTCTAAGGAATTTTGGAAACAAGGTTTCCAGGACCTTGAGGGGGCTAGCTATTGTTAGGAAAAGATAATTTATTACTGTTTAGTAAAAACTCAGTCATGAGACACTTCAGATGTTTATCAGGGGACCATAAGCTTGGAGTATGATTGCCAAAATATGTCTTGGGAGGGGGTAGAGATAAAGAAGTTTTCAAAGGCATTTTTATATGTTAAAGTAGACTTGGGATCCTGGGGGGTCAGGATAATGTTAAGCTGAGATTCCCTTTTGCCCTTAGCAAAGTGTTATCATTAAGACAGCTGAGCTCCCGGACAAAGGTCACCCTGCCTCTCTTAAGGACTTGTCAATGGCTGTAAGTTGTGAGGAAAATTAATTTTTTCCTTCTGCCTTGGTTTTCCACATCATTAAGATTTTTGAGTTGATGCTGGAATGAGTTAAGCCATTGGGCTGGAATGAGTGTATTCTACATGTGAGAAGGACATGAAAATAGAGACAAATTCTGGATGTCTGCCATCTCCCTAATAAGTGGCCCACAAAGATGAAAGAAACAGACTTTTTAAATGAGGAAGTTATCAAAAAAGAATACATGGATAATTTTTTTTTTATAACAAAGTACACGGGTGGGTCTCCAGTTCAAAAATGGCCCCTGACTATCCAGTAAAATTAATGTGTAAGATTTACATTAAATCCAAACATCATGTATTTTCACCTCTATGGGTGAAGAGATATTATACAAATCTCTAGAGAGAAAATACATGGCACATACAAATATTTGTAATTAAAAGTTACATTGGAATTGCTAAAATGAACTATAGATGAAGAAAATAGAGTGAATGATTCTGAGCAAAAGAATATTTTCCCGTTCAAACTCTATGCCTCTTTAGAATTCAATCAAGTACAAGGGTGTAAAACAGGAAATGTTCAGGCTAGCAAAATCCCAAAAACCCTATCTCCCAGGTACCCTTTCCCAGCTTGTAACTGGAGAGTGTGTTCTACCCTGACCATGAGTAAATTGAAAACGGAGCTAGGGAGCCCTGCAGGGGGCGCTCTCGCACACATACCACTCCCCTCCCACCTCCCACCCCCACCCCCACCCCAGCCTGCCTTACCAGCAGGAGGAAGATAAGAATTATTTTAGCAAGAGAGGATATTTTCACAAAGGATTTTATCTTCTGGGGCGCCTGGATGGCTCAGTCGGTCAAGTATCCTACTTCGGCTCAGGTCACGATCTCACAGTTCGTGGGTTTGAGCCCCGCGTCAGGCTCTGTGCTGACAGCTCAGAGCCTGGAGCCTGCTTCGGATTCTGTGTCTCCCTCTCTCTCTGCCCCTCCCCCACTCGCACTCTGTCTCTCTCTCTCTCTCTCTCTCAAAAATAAACATTAAAAAATATATATATTTTCTGCTTTTAAGAAAAAGAAGAAAGATTTCTCCTTGTCCATGCAACGACGCACTCACCTCCACCTGCAGCCAGTGAAAAGCCACCACAACCTCAAATCCTTGTTTTTCACCAATGAACTCTTGTACAGAATAATCCTCCTTATTTTCCTTCTGAAATCTAATAAAAGCTGAGCTTCCCTTGTCTTTTTGGACTCGCCTGCAGGTTGCCATACTTTGCTTGTCTCAAATTGCAAATTCCTTTGCTATTCCTGAGCAAACTCATTTTGCTGTTAAAACAACTGGCTGTTGTTTTGTCTTTGTTTTCGGTGTTTTTGTTCTTTAAGGTTAACACTACCAACCTGCAATGGTACACTAAGCAAGAGAAACACACGGGATCAAGGAAATAGGGAACCCAGTGTCAGACAGGGCAGTGGAAAGTACTACGATGACTGCAGTGTGACATGCTTAGAGGTAACCGGTCCAGACTGGAACAAGGGTAGACAGGTGATCCAGGAAATAATCTGTGCTACCTTATTCTCCAGGGTTAGCAATGGGAAAAAGAGGATTGACAGGCAATTTATACCACACTTGGAAGGTACTGGGAGATAAAATTACGTTTGCTGGGCACCTGGGTGGCTCCATCAGGTAAGCATCCGACTCTTGATTTTGGCTCAGGTCATGATCTCCCGGTTCATGAGCTTGAACCCCAGGTGGGGGTCTGCACTGACAGCACGGAAACTGCTTTGGGATTCTCTCTCTCTCCCTCTCTCTCTGCCCCTCCTGTCCTCAAAATAAACAAACATTAAAAAAATTACATTTTCACCAATAAGCCGATAAAGAATAGGAAATTGTGAAAAGTTTGGAATAATACTGAAAACAGTAAAAAATGAATATGAGCAAATATCCCAATATAGTTATTTTAGGAGGGCAGCAGGAAAGGCAGAGGATTCAGGAAATCTCACAAGCTCATCATCCATACGAGGAATACGAGTTGATGTCTGTCCCTTGCCCATGATTCTAGGTGTCTCGTATTCTCTCCACTAAGCAGATGTTTTTGGTCACAAGAGAACAAATATATTACATGCGTATGATTTTCCCTGTGAAAGTGCCATTTGGGGAGCTGGAAAGAGTGTGAGCAGATAAAGAATGAACATGTGCAGGACCTTGGCAGTTCAGTGGCCCAGACTGGCAGATAAGCTCCAATTTCAAAGAAGGGTTCAAGGAGATTTTAAGCACCTGAGGCAGTCTGTGTCAATCTTTCTCTTCCCATTTCTGGAGTCATGTAAATGAAGAGACAAAGGTTTTCTTTTTTTTTTAGAGCCACCTGGCCTGCTTTTCTTATTTAAAAAGAACAATATTTTCTTATTTCCTTCCTTCCTTTCCTTCCCAGTTTCCCAGGGAATCCTGGAGTTTGGTGTCAGTTTGGGCCTCTCTGGGCCTCTCACCCTTATTTATTTATTTATTTATTTATTTATTTATTTATTAAAAAAAAATTTTTTTAATGTTTATTTTTGAGAGAGAGAGAGAGAGAGAGACCAAGCGTGAGTGGGGGAGGGGCAGAGAGAGAGGGAGACACAGAATCCGAAGCAGGCTCCAGGCTCTGAGCTGTCAGTGCAGAACCCCATGTGGGGCTTGAACCCACGAACCATGAGATCATGACCTGACCTGAAGCTGGACGCTTAACCGACTGAGCCACCCAGGCATCCCTCTGTTGTATTTATTGAACCCATACTCTGGGTTGTAGAAACCAGAGGGTGGGTAGGGGGAGACAGAGAGAATAAGGCTGTAATAATTCCTTTGGGAGTATCAGAAAATACCCGCTAAGAGATAGCAACTTTCCATTTGTAACATGCAAACTGGTGCCTACTTATCTCAAGGAAACTGAGCATTCAGTTTGAGAAAACAGTTGTTCAGATGGGATCTGAAAGCAAATTTCTTCTGAGTTTGGAAAGACAAATCCAGTGTGTAGTGTGTACCTGGAGAAGAAGCTTCGCTCGTGGAAGAGATGTTGCATGGATGGAAAGTGCCTGCAAATACACTGCCTGGAGGAGGAAATGCACGGCCTGCGGGAAACCTTTAACTATGATCTCTTCCTTTCAGGCAGAGGCATGATTAAAACTCATCTGGACGATTTTGCCTCCACCAAAACAGGAAAGTCATGTTGGCCTAGGTTTCAGTGTTCACGATTGTGAAAGACAACAGTGCGTGCTGAAAGGACCCACATGTGGGTCCAGGAGAGGGTAGGCCTCTCAGGAGCGGTGGGAAGAGGGGGCTGGTGAAACCCACGTGTGAAACAGTCTGGAAGCCCTAAGATATGTCTTCCGTTTCTGATCTGCATTATGCTATTGAAAATTCTTGCAAACGAGTATCCTGTCCGAACACCAAAGACCATCCTCCATTTATTTCCCGTCTAAATCTCAAGCCTAGTCTCTAATTTTTTGCTGCATGCATCATGCACTATTCCGGGCTCCCAGGAAACACCATCAACAGGCATTTCTTCAGGCAATTTGCCAGCAGATGTGGTCTCATTTCACTGAGGGAGAGGCAAGCAATTTTAAATCCTGGCTCAAATGATACTTGGCTCAGGGAATCTCTTCCTTGAACGCTGCGTAGCCCTTATCAGGTAGAGTTGTTACAATCTCCTGTGTTTCCAGCGGCATCTGACATATTGGAGACCTGATCTCATTTATCTACGTCCTACTCTGCTAGCTTGTGAGGGTGAGTGGGGCCAGTGCTGGGACCATGGTATCCACCCCTGCATGCTTGGTGACAGACCAGTGCCTGACCCAGAGCCTGATGTCCTTTTTGGATAAATATGTAAGTAAACGAGTGTTCTTTCTTCTCTTTCTTTCTTTCTTTCTTTCTCTTTCTTTCCATTTGCAAAACATTTATTATTTTATTTTAATTTATTTTATTTTATTTTATTTTATTTTATTTTATTTTATTTTATTATGAATATAATTTATTGTCAAATTGGCTTACATACAACACCCAGTGCTCATCCCAACAGGTGCCCTCCTCAATGCCCATCACTCACTTTCTCTTCTCTTCCCCCATCCCCCCTCAGTTTGCTCTCTGTATTTAAGAGTCTCTTGTGGTTTGCCTCCCTCCCTCTCTGCTTGTAACTGTTGTTTTCCCCTTCCCTTCCCCCATGGTCTTCTGTTGAGTTTCTCAAGATCCACATATGAGTGAAAACATGGCATCTGTCCTTCTCCGAGTGACTTATTTCGCTCAGCATAATACCTTCCAGTTCCATCCATGTTGCTGCAAATGGCAGGATTTCATTCTTTCTCATTGCCAAGTAGTATTCCATTGTATATATAAACCACATCTTCTTTATCCATTCTTCAGTTGATGGACATTTAGGCTCTTTCCATAATTTGGCTATTGTTGAGAGTGCTGCTATAAACATTGGGGTACATGTAAGGAGTGTTATTTCTTAATTCCAATAAGACATTGGTTAGGTCCACAAGTTGCCAGAGGCACAGTGGGAAGATGGCACATGGGTTAGTAAATTTCTGTCATGAAAGGTATGCTTATATATCATGTAATGTCCTCTGTTCACACACATATCTCAGTTTCCTGGAGAATGAGGGGGAATTTTATCACATCTCAGAGACACATTGCAGGTGACTAGAGGTGCAATTTGTAGTATCTCATAGTTTAAGGAAGAGCCACTCTGGGTTATGTCTGTAGTTAAACTCAAATAAAACAATCCCAGATCTGTGAATCTTAACCTGTGTATTCATTTTTCTAGCTAGTTATGCTATTAAAATGAGCACCTTCATTAAGCTGGGACCCTAATTTAGATACCTTGCTCGGTCCGATGCTGCTTCGATCGGCCTATAAGATTTATTACCAAGTTCACGCCCCTTATTTCTCCATGGCCGCATCCTCACCATCACAGAAATCAAAGCAGCAGAGTCAGTGTAACATTTAGCAGCTCGTGGAGTCTTTCGTGTGAACACTTAGCTGCCACACTCTATCAGGAAAGGCCCACGGCATTCTTCCTGTCCGGTCTTGGAGCCTATCTGCTGCAGACTCATACATATCGTGTCCAAAAGTCAGGAAGAGAGAGAAAGACAATAAATATTGAAGTCAGAGACCAATTCAGAGATCCAGAGGCTAAGACACACTTGCAGACAGTGTTTCAGCCTTTGATTGTGCGTGAAGGGCAAGTACACTTTAAACAGGGAAGACGGGATGCCTGGGTGGCTCAGTGGGTTATGCGCCTGACTTTGGCTCAGGTCGCGATCTCACAGCTTGTGGGTTCAAGCCCCGCGTCGGGCTCTGTGCTGACAGCTCAGAGCCTGGGGGCTGCTTCGGATTCTGTGTCTCCTCTCTCTGCCCCTCCCCTCTCTGTCTCTCTCTCTCTCTCTCTCAGAAGTAAACATTTAAAAAATTAAAAAAAATAAACAGGGAACACAGGCTTCTCAAGGGTACCTTTGGAAAACTTCTGGCACAGAAACGGCCAAGTAGAGAAAGCCCCAGAAGGGGCACCTGGGTGGCGCAGTCAGTTAAGCGTCCGACTTCAGCCAGGTCATGATCTCGCGGTCCGGGAGTTCGAGCCCCGCATCAGGCTCTGGGCTGATGGCTCGGAGCCTGGAGCCTGTTTCCGATTCTGT